TTTCCAATTTTAGTCCTGTACATTTGTGCTCTGGAACTTGCCGCTCCCCTAGCCAAGCTGTTCCAGTACAGTTACAACACTGGTATCTAATGGATAAAGTGGAAAATTGCCCAGGTATGTCCTGTACACAAAAAGCAGGACAAATCCAACCCGGCCAATTACCGCCCCATCAGTCTACCCTCGATCATCTGTAAAGTGATGGAAGGTGTCACCATCAGTGCTAGCAAGCAGCACCTGCTCAGCAATAACCTGCTCAGTGACGCCCAGTTTGGGTTCTGCCAGGGCCACTCAGCTCCTGACCTCATTACAGCCTTGGTTCAAACATGGACAAAAGAACTGAATTCCAGAGATAAGGTACGAGTGATAGCCCTTTACATCAAGGAATCAAGGCTGCATCGACTGAGTGTGGCATCAAGAAGCCCTAGCAAAACTGGAATCAATAGGAATTGGGGGCAAACTCTTCACTGGTTGGAGTCAGACTTTGTACAGAGGAAAATAGTCTATGGGTATTGGAAGTCAGTCATTTCGGCTCCAGGACATCACTGCAGGAGTTCCTCAGAGTATTGTCTTTGTCCCAACTACTGTCAGCTGCTTCATCAACGACCTTCCCTCCATCATAAGGTCAGAAGTGGGGATGTTCGCCAAGGATTGCACAATGTTCAGCACCGTCATAGTTGCTCAGTTACTGAAGCAGTCCATGTTTAAATGTAACAAGATCTGGATAATATCTAGGCCTGGGCTGAGAAGTGGCAACTAACATACACACCACACAAATGCCAGGCAATAACCATCTCCAGTCAGAGACAATCTAAGCACGGCCCCATGACATCCAGTGATGTTACCATCTCTGTCAAGTAGCACCTGCTCAGCAATAACCTGCTCAATGGTGCTACCATCTCCCACTGTCAACATCCTAGGGGTTGCCTTTGAATAGAAACTGAACTAGACTTGCCACATAAACACAATGGCTACAAGAGCAAGTCAGAGGCTAGGAATACTGCAGCAAGTATGTCACATCCTGACTCCCCAAAGCCTGTCCACCATCTACAAGACACAGTCAGGATTGTGATGAATATTCCCCACTTCCCTGGAAGGGGGCAGTTCTAACATCACTCAAAAGAAGCCTGACACCATCCAGGACAAGGCAGCCCACATAATTGGCTTCACATGCACTGTCTCCACCACTGATGCTCAGTAGCAACTGTGTGTACTATCTGTGAGATGCACTGCAGAAATTCATCAAAGATTCTCAGACAGCACCTTCCAAACACATGACCACTTCCATCTAGAAAGACACAAGCAGTAGATACGTGGGAACAACACCATCTGCAAATTCCCCTCCAAGTCACTCACCATCCTGACTTGGAAATACTTTCTTCACTATCACTGAGTCAAAATTCTGGAATTCCCTCCCTAAAGGCATTGTGGGTCAACCTACAGCACGTGGACTGCAACGGTTCAAGAAGGCGTCTCACCACCACCTTCTGAAGGACAACTAGGGATGGGCAATAAAAGCTGGCCCAGCCGGCAACACGTGTAGCCCATAAACAAAGGAAAAATATTCCTTGCATTTGCCCTTTTAAATTGAAGTTGATAAGGTTTCATTGCATCATTAAATGCAGTTTCCTAGCACAATCGGAAAAGAGCCATATTCCAATTTAACACGGCTGTCTGGTAGTGCCTGTGCAGTGAGCATGCTCAGACACATTAGCTAAGCTGTGTCGATGTGAGAGGACATGTTGGACTCCTTGCAAGATACCAGGACTCAAGCCAGCCTGCTGGAGCCTAGAACTGATGACTACTCTAAATAGCTTGCTGCTTTTTCAATATTAAATTTAATAAATGTAAAGACATTTTATATTAAACATCATGAATTATTAATTCATGCCAGAAAGAAAGGTGTAAAAATGTTAATATCATGAACATTAATATCACACACCAGCACATTTATTTAAAGTGGTCTAAATGTGTCATTCATCAGACACGAATATGCCATCCACAATTATAAAATACTGTCACTGCTCAAAACATGATTCCATAGTCAACCCACTGCGTCTTTAGTCTGGCCAACCCTCAACACAATACTCATGGTCATTGAGTCATCCCTGCTGCCAGTTGTGGTTTGCAGGCTATTGTGCTGCCAATGACTCAATTTTGTAAATGAATTCAATGTCATGTTTGGTAAGATGGTTGGCCATCACTCTGGAGAGTGCATCTATCATTGTCTCCAGTTTTAATTGCAAATAGATTGCTTCATTGGTGAACCTCATGAGATTCTTGGAGGCATCCTTTCTTGTTCCTTCTCATCAAGAAGAGAAAATCAATGTTTACGATCCATCTCTATAATCATGTGAAGACAAAAGATGTCGTCTTAAAACCTCTTACAGACCAGATAAATGGGAGAGTGCCCTTCTCAATCATAGTGCATTGAGTTTCTGTGTCTGATAATACTTGTGGTGTGTAACCGACCAGTTTGCAACACCCAATGGGTTGCTTCTCAAAGAGCGCTGCTCCTAAATCTGCTATGGTTAGAAAATCAGATTGACATGCACTGAGAGATCCATGGATGTCAACTTGCCCTTGATCCTCTGAAAAGCATCGACTTGATTCAGTTCCACCACCTTCTTGAGGAGTTGCCTTAAGAGCTCTGTGGAGCAAGGTAAAAATTTCCATCCCTAAGAATCTTCGGAGATCCTGGACTGAGTTCGGAATGAGAAACTCTGTCATGGCTTTTAGTTTTATGAGAGCCCATCATTCTACATTCTCTGTTCACAATGTGACTCAAGAAGCAAATTGGAGAATGCACAAGTCATTAATTGTGAGCCCCTCTGTTTGTAAGCTGACTTCTCTGATCAATACGTCATCCCTATTACATTTAACTCCACAAACAGTTTGAAATGTATTGGATATAGTCCATTTAAAAGGCTCTGTGACCCAGGTAAGTCTAAGATTTTTGTAGTAATGCAGTAAGTAATCTTAATCTTGCCCAATGGCACCTGCCAGAATCCACTGTTTACATTCAGTTTTGTAAAAGTCTATTTTGGATAATTCGGTAAAGCCTTGTTAACAATAGACATTGGGAGGAGTTCTCTCACTTTCACCTTGTTGAACAGTGTGAAATTATTCAACTTTGAATAATACAGGAACAGTAACCAGCCTAAAACAACTCAGTTGTTGTCTTGTCGAGGGAAATGATGCCCATTCTTGTCATTTCTGCAGGTCGCTTCTCAAATTGCTTCATTAAATATGGAATCTTAAAAGTTCAGTGTGATGCTGTATTAAGTATTTAGCTTCCTTAGTTTTTTAAAGAATTTAGGGTGTTCCTCTCTATTCTGTAGCTTGGGTTTTTAATTACTTCCATCTTTTCCAGTCAAGGTTGAGGAAAGTTCAGGAATGCTTTCTCACTCAAGAGAATTCTTGATTGAGAAGTATGTGTAGATTTGCTACAACTTAGCTTCCTGTACATTGAAGAGCTGCTTGTAAGTTATCCATAATTTCAAGTGCTATCCTCCTGGACCATGTTGTTAATTGTCATTGGCTATAGACTCTATTTTCTTAATTATGCCTTATTATCTGATAGTATCATGATACTCAACCCAGCATCTGACTGGAAATTTGTGAAATGACTATTTACTAAACATCACCTTGCCAATATGTAGAGTCTCGGTCACTTATTTCCTCTAGGAACTCTAGGCTTTTCTACAGTTGCTGATTGCTCTACCTCACTGAACTCTTTCCATGGGAGGCATTTTGATTTCTTGCTTTCATCAAACAGTTCCCAATTTTGCACACTTTATACAAGTGATCTTTTGTGTGACAGATAAAGCATGAACTTTGAATATGTGGGCACTGGCTGTGCCTGTGAATTTTCATTGTTCCACATGACAAGGAATTTTAGTGTATGGTACCTGTGTTACTTACCTTTTTGATTCCTACCTGAAGAATTGTTTATGATTTCCTATATTAAGAATCAAATGGACTCTTCTAATCTCCTGTGCCAAGTTTCATTGTGTTGTGTGAGAGAGACACTGTTACTGTCATATCTGGTTGCATTTATTAGGGTTTCTCTACAAAGGAACCTCTTTGAAGAGATGGCCCTGACAAATATGATCCTTTGAAACTCACTGGGCTGAGTTATACTTCCTCTGCCAGTGCGTTTGAAGGTGGGGGATGCTTTATAAAATCTAACTGGTTACCTTCCCTTTGCCAACCCACCTGCTCTACTCTGCTTCCCATTTGGGGGCATAGTGAAGCCATTGGAAGGGATGTGCCATTTTTGAGGCCCTTAAGTGGCAAATGGATGGCCATTTCAATGCCTTGTCCTGTTGTTATTTCACCCACGTCAGTGGGAGACCCACATCAATCAGGCAAGACTGGCACCTTTTATGAGGTGGCTTGGTGTTATGTAGCGGTGGCAGGATGTCCTTTTGGAGGGGTCACCTATCAGAGGAATCCCCCTCTCTGCTTCATGCCCATTGCCATCGACTGATAAGGAAAAAATGCTGCTTTCAGTTGTAGGGATGGCCTGGAGATGGTCACAATAGAAAGGGTCATCCTGGGCTCTCAGTGTGGGACCCCTCTGCTGCAGTCAATAGGTAGACATTCTCTGTCCTTTGTCTCCCAAGAATGTGACAATAAAGCTGAGGTAGAACACAAGGGATCCCAGTAGGATCTCATGGTGATGACCAGCTTCTCTGTAGTAAATCATTTGTCGGTAACCCAGCACCTCGGTGACAGAGATATCTAATTAAGTTAACTCCCTGCCCTTACTCCATAGCCTTGCACATTTTTCCTTGCCAAGTATTTAGCCAGTTCTCTTTTGAGAGTTATGGGTGAGTCTGCTTCCACCACTGTTTCAGACAGTGCCTTCTAGATCACAACAACTTGCATCAGGCAAAAGTATCCTCTTGCCAAATTTCTCTTTGGTGATTTGATGATCCAGGCAAAAACAATCTTCAAAATAAATTAGGTACAGAATCATTTGGCTTTTCTGCCTTTAATCAGTTCAATTCATTTTATTGAGTGCATTTTAGTACAACATTTTCCAAAACTTAACTGTTACAAACTGAAACATACTCCACACAAATAACAAACTGGGAATGTACAGGGAAAGCAAAAAAAAATAGAGATTTTTACAGTATTTCATTCCATATCTACAGGGAGTGCTGCTTGCAACATGCTTGCACACTTGATACATCCCAGAGGAGGGACAACAAGTGCTCAAAAATCACAAGGACACAAAAAAAGGTACACGCCCCAGTCACTTGATGTCTTCACTCCGAGGATGGATGGTCCTTTCTGAACTCCCCCCATCCTTCGACTGGATGCAATACTTTTACCCTGCAGAAATAAACACAGAAGGCTGTCATATGGAACATGACTGAACAGCAATCACAAATTGCACGTAGTTACTTTGAGTCTAAATGTAGACTTTATTGAGGATGGCCCAAAAGCAGAAGCTTTTACTTCACAGAATCCCAACAGTCCAGAAAAAGGCCATTTGGCCCATTGAATGTGCTCCAACCCTCCGAAGAGCATCCCATCCACACCCAGGCCTGTAAACCCCATTTACCATGGCTAACCAACCTAACCTGCACACCTTCAGACTGTGGGAGGAACCCCATACAGACACAGGGAGAATGCGCAAGCTCCACACCGACAGTCGCTCAAGGCTGGAACTGAACCCACGTGCCTAGCACTGTGTGGCAGCAGTGCTAACCACTGTGGCACCATGCTGCCCTACTGAGAGCCATGTTGTTTTTCTCATGTGAATACGTCCTTCTCAACTCATTATAAATACATGTGCAGGTAAATAAACACAGTTTATGAGCAGCAAGCACTGCCCACATCCCAATCCTCGCTAGGCCTTTCCTGGCTCCAATGTAAGGCTCCACATTTAAAAAGTGATACTTCCTGAGAGGTTCTGGTGAAGCCCTTTTTCCGAGGGATGGCAACAAGAGCTTATTCCAATGAATGAAAGGAGCCTGGTCAGAGGTGGCTACAGAGGCCAGGACCCATGGGCAGCTCAAGAGATCCTGGCTCCAGTGCTGCAACAGGATGCCTTGATCTGCTGCACTCTGCCTGTGCATGTACCATTCAATACCTGGCTCCTATGAGTGTGAGTTACACAGGAGGTTGGGTGCCAGGTCTCCTCATCAGATGCCTCATTTAAAATCAATAAAAATCACTGCTGATTGTTGTAAAAACCCATCTGGTTCACTAATGTCCTTTAGCTAAGGGAATCTGCCTTCCTTACCTGGTCTGGCCTACATGTAACTCCAGACCCACAGTCATGTGGTTGACAATTAACTGCCCTCTGGGCAATTAGGGATGGGCAATAAATGCTGCCTAGCCAGCAACAGCCAATTCCACGAGCAAATGCAAAACCTCTTCAGTAACTTGGCTCCCACTAAACCATTTCTTTCCACACGTGCACACAGGGTAAAGTGGTTAAACTTGACTGGACCAACCCATGGGAAGTTTTAGTCACATGCGGTCTTGCTTGCTGTACTTAAATTCTTTCAGTGTAAGGGGTATGATATATCTGTGTCTGAGGTATCTATGAGGTGCTCAGCCAGAAACTGTGTTTTGCTGTGGTCTCCTGCTCCCATGCAGACCTCTGATGAGAAGCTACCAGATACTGTCACTTTAAGGCAAATATCAATGTAGCACTACTGGCACCACAGTGGCACAGCTTCTCACACATCTGCAAGGGTTTACACTTAAAACATAGAAGCAGCTACAGCACTGAGCGTCTAATGTACTATCAGTTCACTCAACTTTCAACATAACTAGGAGCAACACAATTATCTGGGTGGCACAATGGCCCAGTGGTAAAGCAGGATTAGGCTACTGAGTTAGACGATCAGCCATGATTGTAAAGAATGGCTGAGCAGGCTTGAAGGGCCGAATGGCCTCCTCCTGCTCCTATCTTCCATGTTCCTATGTTTCTCACAGCATCAAGGACCTGGGTTCGATTCCAGTCTCGGATGAGTATGGAGTTTGCACATTCTCTCAGTGTCTGTGTGGGCTTCCTCCAGGTGTTCCAGTTTCCTGCAACAGTCCAAAGATGTGCAGGTTAGGTGGATTGGCTATGCTAAACTACCCGTAGTGTTCAGGGATGTGTAGGGAAGGTGGATTAGCCATGGGAAATGCAGGGCTATAGGGATAAGTTGGGGTGGTTGGTCTGGGTGGGGTGGTCTTTGGAGGGTCAGTGTGGACTCATTGGACTGAATGGCCTGTTTCCACACTGTACAGTATAGCTTGAAAGAAGTAATTTACACTACCAGTTACACACCTCAGACAACAGAGTTTGACTTGAGAACACTAGAGCTTTCTACTCTTACCGAACCGTGGCTATGAATGTAATTCCTGCAGGCTGAAGTGTTAATGAATGCACACATTACTGGCTGTTAAAGTCAGGGAAGTCCTTCCACCCAGAAGGTTCTGAGATCTTAATGTCCAAACCTCAAGCTGCCATTAAGAAGTAGAGCTTTGCCTTCAGCTCAATTAAGTACCCTCACTCCCGGATCGAAAAGTTTGAGGTGGGCCCAGAAGGTTCCGCTAATGTTTTCCACAACCTCAGGTCTGCGCTAAGTGTTTTTACAGCTCTGTGGTATACAGATAGGAAGGAATGGCCCCTCAACACTGACTTTGGATCCCTCGTAGTCTCATGCAATCAGGTCAAATGTGGGCAAGAAATCATCTGCTGATTCACCAATACCCATCACCAAACGTGGCTCAGCAGTAGCACTCCAGACTGAGCTGGTTGAGTCCTTAAGGACATAGCTATGAGACTGGGTATACAGCGGATAGTAAGGGAACTAGCTTAGGGGAGAGGGAAAAACATACTTGATCTGATCCTGACCAATCTGTCAGCTGCATATTCATTGTCCATGATGGTACTGGTAAGAGTGACCATTGCACAGTCCTTGTGGAGACAAATCGATATGTTGTGTGACACAACCCTCATGATAAATTGGATAAATTTTCTACAAACCTAACTACTCAAAAGATGACATTCATGAAGCACTGTAGGCCATCAGCAGCAACAGAAATGTATTTATTCAACCACAACCTGCCACCTCCAGCTTAGCATATTCCTCACTCCAGTCAGGGAATCAACTTTGGTTCAATGAAGAGTGCAAAAGGGCATGCCAGGAGCAGTGGTGTCAATCTTGTGAAGCTATAACACAGGACTACTTGCATGCCAAACAGCATAGGCAGCAAATGATAGACAGAGCTAAGTGATTTCACAACCAACAGATCAGATCTAACCAGTCCTGCCACATCCAGTCACAAATGCTGCAAACAACTAGAGGAGGAGGCTCCACAAATATCCCCATTCTCAATGATGGGGAAACCACTCCATCAGTGCAAAGGTTAAGACTGAAGCATTCGCAATAATCTTCAACTAGAGGTGCCGTCTCAGCCTTTTTCAGAGATCCCCAGCATCACAGATTATCAACCAATTCGATTCACTCCATGTGATATCAGTGGAAGCAGTGGATAGAGCAAAGGCAATGGACCAATAGTGTTGATGTGCCTTTAAGCAAGCTTTTTCAATACAGTTACAAACTGAAATCTACCTAGCAATATGAAATATTTCCCAGGTATGTTCTGTACACAAAAAGCAGGACAAATCCAGCTCAACTAATTACCTCCCCATCAGTCTATTCTTGATCATCAGTAAAGTGATGGAAGGTGTCATTAACAGTGCGATTAAGCAGCACCTGCTCAGCAATAACCTGCTCAGAGACGCCCAGTTTGGGTTCCGCCAGGGCCACTCAGCTCGTGACCTCATTACAGCCTTAGTTCAAACATGGACAAAAGAGCTGAATTCCAGAGGTGAGGTGAGAGTGACAGCCCTTATTATCAAGGCCACATTTCACAGAGTGTGGCATCAAGGAGTCCTGGCAAAACTGGAGTCAATGGGAATCAGTGGAAAACCTCTTTGCTGGTTAGAGTCATATCTGGCATGTAGTAAGATGGTTGTGGCTGTTTGTAGTCAGTTTTCTCAGCTCCAGGGCATCTCTGCACAACTTCCACAAAGTAATTAGTTTCCTTGGCCCAACCATTTTTAATTACTTCATTGATAACCTTCCCTACATGATAAGATCAGAAGTGGGAACGTTCACTGATGATTGCACAATATTCAGCACCATGCATGACTCCTCAGGCAATGAAGCAGTCCATGTCCAAATGCAGAAAGACCCTAATATGTAGGCTTGGGCATATACCGGTCACACCAGACAAGCTTCAGGCATTGAACATCTCAAACAAGAAAGAATCTAGTCATTGCCCCATTATGTTCATTACCATTACCATCACTGAATTCCCCACTATCAGCATCCTTGGAGTTACCTTTGACAAGAAACTGAACTGGACTAGCATTATAAATACAATGGCTACAAGAGCAGGTCGGAGGTTAGGAATACTGAGGTGAGTCACTTATCTTCTGGCTCTGCAAAGCCTCTCCACCATCTACAAGGCACAAGTCAGGAATGTGATAGGATTCTCTGCATTATTGGATGAGTGCAGCTCCAATACCCTCCCTGACACATGAGCATACTTGATAAGCACCTCATTCGCTATCTTAAACAATCATTCCCTTAAGCACAGTGGGAGCAGCATGTGCCAAAACCAAGATGCACTCTATTAATTTGTGAACATTCGCTTAACAGCACCTTCCAAACCCACAACACTGACTAATGGCAACGGGAACAGGTACATGGGAACACCACCACCTGCTAGTTCCCCTCCAAGCCACTCACCATCCTGACTTGGAAATATATTGACATTCCTTCAGTGTCACTGGGTCAAACGTCAATGTGTATGTCCCTGCACAACATGGACTGCAATTGTTAAGTTGGTCACTTACATTTCCTTCTCCAGGGTAAGTAGAAATGGGCAATGAATAAGGCTGGCTCAGCCAGCAATGCCCACATCCCATGAATAAATAATTAAAGAGGGAGACAAAAAATGGGGGAAGGGAGGGTGGGGAGGGGTACATGGAACACAATTCTAGAAAGCCATCTCCTTGATAGGACAATGTCCATGATGGGGTCCAACAGGGAGAGTGGCACAATTGGTCTGTACAGGATGTCTGCGCTATTAGTTATGGCAATTTGTGGTTACTTTTGCAGACATCAGGGTCACATCTCCAAGTTGACCATCCTGACGTACGTTCTGTGGCCCATTTTCTCAGATACACTGCAGCGTCTCTTACCAGGGTACTGGCAGTAGGCTTCACCTGTTTGACTGACCTGAATGTGCAGCCAAGAAGGAGCAGGAATGGATTCTCCCAGTTCTCAACAGAGCATCCACCTAACCCCACCCCC